CAATTATTCTCAAGCTAAGTCTGGCATATATTTTGGGGAGACAACTTAAGAGAAATCCCTCTGTTCCTCACAGCTTATTAGATAATCATTCAATATTGGTTTCTCTGTTACGCTAAGCTTTTTTTTTTCGTTAACGTTTTAAGACTGTAAACTTCTTTGTGGTCAGAATTATGCTGTGTAATTATGTTTTGCAAATACAATTCCTGAGATCAATAGCTGACTGTTGTATTCACTTCTTTTGGACTGAGCCAGCATCCAGGTACAAGTTTCTTTCTAACTTGATTGGAGTCCTCAAACTCAGCGGATGCCTTTTGGGGATCTTTAAGCCCCAAACAAGCTTCTCCCTCTGTAGAGAGGGTGTGTGTGTGTGTGTGTGTGTGTGTGTGTGTCTAGTATGACTTTGACCTGGCTGGACTATGTGTGTGTGTGTGTGTGTGTCTTTGTGTGTGTCTAGTATGACTTTGACCTGGCTGGACTATTCCAGAATACCAATCTTGTTTACTAATGGAGACCAGGAGCAGCCGATATAATCCAAACAGTCAGAAAAGTCAGGTCTCTGAGACAGTCAGAGTCATTTTGGCAGTGAACTTGCATTTATAATTCTATTTAGCCCAGACGACTTAAAAACGATATTTCCTGAACAACCAATAGGAAAAGGGGGAGCGAAGTCAGCACCTAGAATTTTTTTTTAAATGCCGAGCCAGAGAAATCAGTTGTTTAGTGGCAAAATGGTTAGGTACAGGCCTAGAGAAAGATGAAGCTGTCTGCTCCTGTAAATACTTAGAGTCTGAAAAACCCTAAGGAATCCTACTTTGTCCGACACGCTTGCTAAGAGCCAGATGTACTGGGTGTCAGTAGGTTGGTACCCTGTTTCCCCGAAAGTAAGACATCCCCTGAAAATAAGACCTCCCCCAAATTTGCATCCCCCGAAAATAAGACCTCCCCCAAAATAAGCCACCCCAAAGCTACCGTCACTCTGGACTCTGGACCGTAGCTGCCGGTGCCGCTGCACAGCTCACTGTTGGCCATAGCGCAGCCGGAGCAGACAGGAAGTGGGAGGTCTCTTTTAATAAAACAATAAACAATAAATGTGTAGCGTATTCTTCTTCATGGAAAAATAAGACATCCCCTGAAAATAAGACCTAGCGCATCTTTGGGAGCAAAAATTAACATAAGACACTGTCTTATTTTTGGGGAAACAGGGTAGTTGCCGGCTCCTCCTCCTTTCTGTTCAAGCCTTTTCTGGAGTACTGGGGAATTCTTCCCAGCTTCAGCCTCAAGATACACTCTCCCTATTCCACTTGCCTTAGAGGGAATTGAGTTCTCCCTGGAGCCCCCTTTCCTCTTCCACGCTCTTCTAGGGGAACACACCACAGCCACCCCTACGGTGTTAGGCAGCTTGGCGAGAGAAACTAATGCAGTGACACGCATATGTGCACAAAAGAGCTCTAGATCAAGAAGTAGTGATATATCAGGAAAACCTCC